CGATGGTTCTCCACATTGATCGTAATCCCAGCAGTATTCCAGCAGCTTGCTGTTCTTCTTCTGCAGACTTTCATCTCTTCTCTACTTCGTCGTCCGACAACTTGCCCGTACCTGTAGGGTTTCCCAGTTGTCCGGTTTGATCTCCGTAGAGTCTTTCATCAGTTCTACGTACCCATACTTTGATAAATGGGCCATCATCTTGACCTTGTAGAACCTGAACTTCTCATCTTTCCCATCGAAGATGGGATACTTGCTCGACGATGATACCTCTACCTCCGTAGACATCTTACTTACTTCTCAATTCTTCTCTTTCTGTTTACAACCTGGATCCAAGCTCACTCTTTCCTGATAGCTATCGTTTTAAAACGTGTTGAAAAAGGTGTGAACTTGAACGCACAATTTCTCTAATTTTAATCAATATCCTTCCAGCTCTACTGTCAGTAGACTGGCTATTCGTTTCGTTTTCTCTTTCTCTTTCGTTCAGATTGTGAGTCTCTACAACTGAGCTCCGATATGCATACATATACCAGGATCTTTCGATCCTCTGCTTCTCGCAGTTTCATCTACAGATAGATCTCGTCGATCTATCTTCCTGAAGTGCATGGTTGGCCCTGGAGGGCTTTCCCACTTACTAAACCTATGGACCTTCATCCGTCCATTCATTTGCTCCATCCCGTCGCTCCTTGCATTCATCCTCTTCGACCTAACTTCCTAACCTTTGTAGTTGCATCATCTAGACGACCATTGTCCTCGTTCCTCGTACACACACCTGGCCATCTGATGATGATCGGATAACCATCTGATTTGAGTCACACATCCCCAATCACGAACCGTGATTGTGGATCCCGAGTCGTCTGTCCGTCATACGAAAATACCTTTCTGACAGAGGGACGACCACAACAAAATTCTAACCCAGCCAACTCCGTGGTTGGCGAAAAGTAAAGCACTCCATGGATCTCCAAAGCTCCACTTTTAGCACACTGCCTCCGTTTGGGTGTTGTCCTTGCTCATGGAGATACACACGGATACGGAGTCGAATCGATTAGATTAGTTGTTACTTAGATCTACTTACTTACTAGCAAGAAAGAGAGCAGCTAGCCAGAATGGCTCCAACCGCAGACTCTAGCAACGACAACAATAATGACAAGAAGCGCCCCGCATCTCCCCGTCGCAGCTCTCGTGCTCCCAAGAAGCGGGACTTTTTTCACAAGAATGTGGTCGTAAGTAATAGCCGACGAGGACTGATTGAATACCAGCGCGACGAACGACGGGGACTGAATCAACCCGGTGTTTGGGTCTATCGCACCGAAAAAGACAAGCAAAATATCAAGGACGAAGAGCACGGCCGCGACCTTTATTTGGACGAATTGCAACCGGCCGGATGGGTGTGGCGCAAACGCATCACCGTCTTGACAGGATGGATCTGTACTGCCCCGGGAATTCCCAAAAAGGACGAACAGGTGAACGTCAACTGTTTCACGTCCTATCAAGCCATTGTGCAACAATACAAGAAGGATGGAAATACCATGGAGAAGATTCTGCAACGGGGAGCGCAAGGTGCCGTGAGTAACAGCACAAAGACAGGAGGGACAACGACGACAAGAGCTGCCAAGAAACCCAGTGGTACAACCACTGCTAACAAGACTCCAAAGGAGGCTACCACAACTCGGTCGTCACGACGTCACACCAACGCCGCCAAGAACAGGGACCAGCCACCAGCGGCAGTGGGCCCCCGCCTTACCCGAAGGGCTGCCAATAATGCCTCTGCTCAGGTCTCCAACAATAACAACACTTCGCAACAAGACACTGTGACCCTTGTCGCTGCGGCCGCACCAAGCGATAACAACACGCAGCCTCAAGGCAATAGCAATCGGGATACAACTACGCGTACCAGTGAAACAACCACTACAACCACCAGACAGGGCCGTGCTGCCCCAGAGACCGTGCAGCCGGCAGAAGAACCAACTGCAGCAGCACCCACAGCGGGCGCAGCAGCAGCAGCGCAACAACCTACTGATAATGCTCCTCCTCCGGCAGCCGCTGCGTCTGTCCCTGTCAAGGAAGAACAAGACGCGGAAGTACCCATCAAACAGGAAGAAGAAGAAGTCAGCGTGATTGGAGCCGTCAGGGTGGTTAGTAGTGCATCCACCGCGCCAACATGTGGAGTTTTACAACGGTGTCAACGCATCGAGTTCTCCCTGGGATTTCCACCGGAAAAGTACTCGGGGGAACCACCCTATCGACGCATCCACTTGCTGGAACAGGATTGCGGATTGATTGTGCCGCAGGGAGTTACCTGGCGCCAAAGGTTGGATGCCCTCGAAACGATTATTGGAATTTGATTGCAGTAATTGCAGGAGTGCTGCCCTGCTTTGTTTTTAGGATATAATACATCTAATAGTTAACTATCTATTCTAAAGTGAGCCTTTATAATCAGAGATGTGAGTACAGGTTCATGCTGCTCAATAGCAAGGCATTGCACGATTCCTTTCCTTGCAAGCAACACCACAGAGAATCTTGTCCTGATCTCATTGATGATTCTTTGATTTTGTTTTTGCTTTTTTTGCTTGTCTAGCTAGTTAGTAGCATGCAGTGCAAAGATCAGTCCAAGCAGTGCCATCAGTTGAAGGAGTGCCCTCATGCCAGCAGTCCGTGCCAGAGAACATGTCTGTGACAAAAGCATCCAGAGAAAGCTTGGACTGCCAGTCGCACATGTCCTGGTTAAACTGCTCTGCGTCATTGAACATCATCACAGTGTTGGTGGCGCTTCTGACATCCCAACCAGAAAGGTCCTGGTTGAATGAGGTTGCACCATTGAACATGTTGCCGAAATTGACTACTATGCTGGTATCCCAGCTGCTGATATCTTGGTCAAACTTGCTGGCTCCCTGGAACATGCTTCCCATTCGGGTGACATAGCTCACATCCCAGGAGGACAAATCCTTATTGAATGACTCGGCATTCCAGAACATGGCTGCAAGATCATTCACATTACTTGTATCCCAACTGCCAATCTCCTGGGAAAATAGGGAAGCCTCGTAAAACATGAACTTCATGTCTGTTACCTTGCTGGTGTCCCAATTTGAAAGGTCTTGGTTGAATTCGGCTGCACCATGAAACATGTACTGAAAATCTGTTACTTGACTCACATCCCATCCACCAATGTCATGGTCAAAAGAACTGAAGTTGGCATTGCGACCTGAACTGAAGAGCCTTTCAAATGACATTTCTTCAAAGCACCAGTTGTAGATAGGGCCATACTCTAATTCAGCATCAGCCATGTTGTCTAGTTTGTCTAGAACAGTTGTACGATCAGGGAAGCATGCATAGCTGGGTGATGCACTTGGACTCTTGGTGCTGGGTGATGCACTTGGACTCTCGGTTGGACTGCTTGTTGGAGACATGCTGGGACTGGTACTCAAAGTTGGATCAGTTGGAGTGGTGCATTCCAAGCATAAGGATACCCAATATCCATTGCTGTTTTGAGGTGTTCCTGCGTTTGAACAATTTGTACCCTGGAACATCAATGATACAGCTGCACTTGAAGTATTTAGTGGCCAGTCACACAAATCCTGCCCAAATGAGCTAGCAAACATAAACATGCCAAAAGCATTTCCCAGAATGCTAACATCCCACGCTGAGATGTCTTGGTTGAACAATTCTGATCTGAAAAACATTTCTTCGGTGCTTGTAACACTGCTAACATCCCATGCAGAGATGGGTTGGTTGAATGTTGCTTCCCTGAACATACCATCCATGTTTTGAACCAGACTTGTGTTCCAGCTGCCAAGGGGACTGGGAAGGCAGAGAAAGGCAAAGCAAAGTGAGAAAACAATTTTACTTATAGCAACCAAACCTTGGCAGTGAGTACACACCTGTCATACAAGGAAGACATGAACATGTAACCCATTGATGTGACCTTGCTGACATCCCAACTGCTGATATCCCTGTTAAAAACAGATGAAGAAAAAGTTCCTTCCATACTGGTGACGCTGCTTACATCCCAACTGCTGATGTCACTATTGAAGGATCCTGCATTGTGGAACATGGAGTTCATGCTGGGGAGTTCAGTTAAGGAAGGGCGATTGGATTGGGAGTTAGAGTCATGCACAATGGCGTATACTGAACAATATCCTGGACATACCTGGTTACTCTGCTGACATCCCAACCCCCGATGTCTTCATTAAATGCACTCTTCTCTGCGAAAAGCCAATCGAATGACATTTCTTCAAAGCACCAGTTGTAGAATGGACCGTACTCTTGCTCAGCATCGGCAATATTGTCCAGCGCATTGTCCAGTGCATTGCGAGTAACAAAACAGTGTTGATGGTTTGCTGGTGAAACACTTGGGCCTGGACTTGGAGCCAGACTAGGTTGGTTGGTTGGGCTGCTGGTTGGGCTGTAGCTGGGAGACGTACTAGTTGTCGGCGCGACTGATGGTGCAGCGGATGGTTCTAAGCAATAATGACACATTGTTACCCAAGCGTCACCTTTAGAGCTCTTGCTTGGTGTTCCAGTTTCATCGTGTCCACCTTCACACTGTGTTCCCGCAAACATCCCATTGGCGTTTGCTGATGTTTGCAACGTTGTAGACCATGCGCACAAGTCCTGTCCAAACACTTCAGCGAACATGAACATTTTGTAGGTACTTGTCACTTTGCTCACATCCCAGTTGGACAAATCTTGATTGAAAGAACTGGCCCATCGGAACATGGAGTGCATGCTTTCAACTTTACCGACATCCCATGCAGAAATGTCTTGATTAAAAGCAGAACCACGGAACATTTCTTCCATGGCTGTCACACTGCCAACATTCCATGCAGAGATGTCTTGGTTAAAATTAGCCTTATAGAACATTTGACCCATATTAGTCACCTTTGAAACATCCCAACCCCCTATATCTTCATTGAATGAGGTAACTGATAAGTCTCTCTCTGGACTCAACAGCTGGTAGAATGACATTTCTTCAAAGCACCAAGAGAAGATTGGTCCATAAATTAGTTGGGTTTCAGCAACGTTCTCCAAAGCCCTGTTTAGCTCTTCTCGTGACTGAAAACAGAATGGTTCGTCCAAGTTGCGATGGCCTTGATTGTGGACTCCACTTGATCCTCCGAGCAAATCGGTACGAGTGTTGAGGTTATCTCTTGCGCCACTATCGGCATGAGCAAAGGCGATTCCGGAGAGCCACCACAAGGAAGACCACCATTTGGCGGTAGTAAACCACGTTTTCATAACGATCGAGTGCCTGGTGTGAAAGTACTTCGTTTTGTTTTTGTTTTTTGTTTGCTTTGCTTTTGCTTTTGGGGTTATGTTTTGTGGGCTGTGGATGCTGTGCAACTTGCCCTTAGACCAAAAGCATTGAGGGCTTCAAGCAAAGTAATAGATGAAGAAACAATTAGAAGTAACCATACGGAAACCACTCACCAACAAAGACCAAAAGTCAAGGTTATGAAGCATTGCTCGGCTTCAAGAACCTTTCTCCCCACCGGTTTCCAAGATACCTTCCCGCTGCTATGCATAGCTAGCCAGCCTCCGGGGCTGCAAGCATTGCTGCTCTGCTCCAATCAAGTGTGTCTGGCACGTCCTTGGAGCTGAGCAGGGAACAGCCAAAATTGAAAACCGGTAATAAATCTTAGATGCAGGACGTTAACTCTCCGACTCTTACCATTGAGGCTGATTCGATTCGCAAGACTGAGAGACTCCAACTCCCTTGTGGGTGAGGGCAGAGCAGATGCCGTCAGACCGACGACCTTGACGCGGTTGTGTCAAAGGCAGCGCAAGGTCTGCACTGAAACAATAACCCATTGCTACCGTGTTGACCTTTCTATCAGGTACCAGTTGTGTGCAGTTGTGTGCAAGGCAGCGCAAGGTCTGCACTGAGACAAAACCTACGACCTTATCGACCTTGCCATCATTGGTTTTCATTTATTTGTGATGCAGGAAGACATACGAGAGAATTCAAAGATCTTTTCATACACGAGTACAGAACTTGAAACCTGCTTTCGGGGCAGGGATGAACTACATGTACTTCATCTAGACTTTAATTATACAAGCGCTGCTGTGGTGTTTTCCCTGGTTCCAACCATCCATCATCCATACATTGCTTGGCTGCCTACCCCAGCAGGCCACACCAGGCAATCTCTAGCTAGACTGTTTGTTTGTTTTTGCTCAGCACGAGCACGGAGCAGGTGGAGAGACATGCACGGGAATACTATCCCCCAATTCTTCCGTGTCGCAAAATGGTTGGTCGAGTAACTCGGACGGCATGACTTGCATGGCTTTGCGCAACAAAAACGCCGGCCCACAGTTGCGTCGTTTTTGGTCGCGACTGTTGACATCAATGGCCCGCCGAAAGGTTCTACTGCCCGGGATTCCAAAAAAGACTCCGTATACCGGTTTGAAGCATCGATCCATGACACAGGACGAGATCTTGATGGTGGTTGTTTTGGTTTTGCTCTTGTTGCTGCTTTTGTTGCTGTTGTTGCCATGACACTTTGAATTTTCCTTGTCTTGGTTGGTTGTTGTGGTTGTAGGTGTAAGTGTAGGTGAGCTGCTAGTACCATCGTTGCCAGTATCCAACAGTAGTTCCTTACAATGTGGACACCACGGTGAGTGATGGACGAGATTGGGAGGAGACGGAATCCGCATGGTGACACGGTCATCGTCATCGCAACATCGTCGTGGATAGACTCGTTCCAGGTATTGACAGTACGACTCGAGCAACTGCCGTCGATTGGGACAAGGATTGCTGGGACACCCGTACAAATAGCGATCGACATCCCAGAATTGTGCCGGATGATCCATGGCCGCCCGGCCCAACATGCATCCCATGAGATTCGGCGGAACTTGGTTGGGGGGTGCCGTGCAGGATCCATTGGGGACATTGCAAATGGAACACGGTACTTGATGCTGATTGTTGTTATTGTTGTCGGATGGAGGTACCCCGTAGAGCAACTCTTTGCAAGCTTGTAGGCCGGGAATGCCTCCATTGATATAGAACTCGCACTGTGGAAACCGTCGACAGAGTTCGTAGACGCGCGGGTAATTCAACGGTGGTACCAGTCGATTTTCTTTGGGGCTGAGTCCTTCCAGTAGACATTTGCGGGCGTGAAGGTAGAATCGACTTGTCACTTGCGAGAGTTTGGTAATGAGTTCCACCATGAACTCCATGGAATCCAACTCGTCAATTCCCACGCGACACTTGACGGAAACTTGTATTTTTGTATTGATAGTAGAGCTAATTTCTTGTTGCATCGTCCGTAGTATTTCGACAGCCGTATCGACGTCTTTCATCAAGATGGCTCCAAATTTGCGTCCACTGACACGAGAACTGGGACAGTCCATGTTCAAGTTGATTTCAGAATACTCACTGTAGTCGTTCAAAATAATCCGCGTGGCGGCTGCGGTGTATTTGGTATCAATGCCACCAATTTGACACACCACGGGAGCTTCCCGAGATGTCATGCCGAGGTGATGATCTCGTTGTTCGGGATTAAAGCAAATCGTCTCATCCACCACCATTTCGTTCCAGAGGACGGCCTGTTTCGTCAAGATGCGCAAAAAGTTGCGAAATTCGGTAGTGCTCACATGCAGCATGGGAGCAATGTGCAGAGATTTTTGTCTACTGGCAGAAGTGGCGGTTGTTGTGGTTGTTATGGCTGATGTTGTATCCAACGGTAATGGAGTCTCATCAACATGAGCAGGCACATCTGTCGTTGAATCGCTCATCTTGCTTGTTCCCTTTCAAGCACTTCATCAAATACTACTGATCGTTCTTGGCTATGGAGCTGCACCTTCGAATAGTTGGATGATACTAGCTACTGGTACCAGTAGTAGGACTGCCTCTAGATACCGGTATGGTCTATCAACTGGAACCATCGATCGTCCAAGTCGATTGGTGGATAGTGGTCCGTTGGTGGCAGTTCAAGCAAGGTGGAGGTGGCAGGAAGTTGAGAGACTCTGACTCGTGACTCTCCTCATTTTATTTAAGCCAGCGCAATCTGCGAGAGAAGGACCTAAATTAATACAGAGCACTCGGAAGGTATCAATTATCAATAGTACATGTACTGGTAAACCTTTACAAAGCCTGGGATTTATGCATCAGCGCTCCCTCATTCTTTGTCTCTTAAACCACTGTTCCTTTCTGTTCTCCTTGGGGATGGGCAAATCTTGCAATAGCCCTGAATTGTAATGGAGTGTGACTCGCCAAAATCAGTTAAAAAGACGAAATTCGTATTTTTGCCGGAAGATACATTTAATTGGATTGCATTGGATTGGATTGCATTGAATTGGATTGAATTAGATTCCAAATAGTACTGTTAGAGCGCGTCCGAACTACTTTCGGGCAGGCCCTTCATGTACCCAAAAATAGTCCATTTCGGCAATGCCAGGATGACTGCTTGGCCCAAAAACGCCTACCCCCTCCAAACTACTAGTGGATTGTGGAATGAATTTCAGCCCGGTAATCACATATCATTAACCCAAAATAGGAAATGAAAATGTTGCCAACGCAGGTTGAAGGAAGAATAGTAAGAGGTAGAACAAAAGATCTTCGGCAGTGGTGTTGCTGCTGTGGCTAGAACATAAATTCTTACCTTTCGAAGATGAAGTTGTATTGGTGGCTCTTCCTTATCTCCCTTGTCCCCAAAGGGGAGACAGTTGAAAATGGTTCTGTACTTCACAAGCTGAAGATTGCTGGTCTGATTTCGTCCATTCTAGTGGCTTCCTTGCCAGAGGAATTGGAAGTGGAACAGCAACCAGAACTTAAAGATATCGGAAGCAAGGATGATCTCCACCACAAGTGTCCGCCACCCCACATTGGACGTGAAAGGAAGTATGTGGGAGACATCTTCAAAGAGCAAGGACCGTACTATATGAAGAGGGGGTACCGAATGTCTGAAGACTCTTTCTGGAAATTGCACAGGATTCTGCGTCCTTACCTCACTACCCAGTCTGCTCAAAAGAAGCACAAGAACGGAGCAAAGAATGGCTTGATAACCACTGATATTCGCCTAAGTGTTGCTCTTCGGTACTTTGCTGGTGGTCGTGCAGAAGACATTTGTTTGGTTCATGGAATCTCACACACAGAGGTGTTCAACAGTGTTTGGAAGGTGGTTGATGCTGTGAATGAGTGTCCTGAGTTGAGCTTCAGCTACCCAAGTGACCATGGAGAACAGTTGAAGATCGCCAAAGGGTTTGAAGAGAAGAGTGAAGCTGGATTCGACTGTTGTGCTGGTGCTGTGGACGGCATGGTGATCTGGACAGAGAAGCCCACAGAGAAGGAATGCGAGATTGCTGGAGTTGGTGAGAAGAAGTTCTTCTGTGGCCGCAA